AAAAAAAAATCTATTTGAAATCGTAACGTCCCCCATTAATACTATGAATTGACATGATATTACTGCTTTGCACTCCCAATTCCCACTCTTTCATCTTTGATACTCTACCTGTTCTGGGCTGATACTGATGGGGTCCTTACAGATGATCCAGGTTACACTCTCATAAAGGGGAGGATGAGTCAGAGAGCCAGAGTAGGTCCAGTAATCCAGGGATGAAGGAAGGAGAGTAGATGGGTCAAAATTTGTGAATGGGGCTCGTTTGTTCTGTAATATATCATTATACCATGATTTAAAATACTGATGTCATATACATGTATGACATCTATGTTATATTATCTTGGCATATATATTGTCTTGATATTTTAGCTGAGAATTTAATTAACTTTTCTACTATATAGTATACACTGGTGTGTTTGTAGATAAAGACAATAAAGGTAATAGAAGACTGAAAATTTGCTACCCTCACATTTTGGCCAAATAATTTTCTTCCTTCCTCATTTGGTGGAATATAAGCAAAGGTTAAAAAATTTTTAAATAATCTATCCTCTCTAAAAGATATTTCACTTCCAGAATAAAACCTTTATTGTTTCTTTAGGAATGAGGCCAGATACTGTTCCAGTGGCAAAACTATTATTGACATGCTTATTAGTTACGTTTTAGCCTTCTTTTATTTACTCACGTTCTTTTTGGATTGTTTATGAGTGGCATATTAATGGTACCTCAAAATAAGACCCTTAACTCCTGCATTTTTGTACTACTAAAGAAACAGAGGTAATTTTCTTTGTGAAATGGAAAAAAAAATCACATTTTAGTTAGATATACTTTTTAAAGAAAATTTGAATGGCTATGGAACCTGTTCTTCTCTAGGCTAGTTCTTCTCATGCTGCTGAAGTAGGAAAAAAAAAAAAACTGAGAAAAAGAAAAGAACAAAACAAAACAAATACCTGAGTCAGAGACTTTCTCAGAAGCAAGCAATATCTAAATACTACCTTGATTTTCAAATTGGTAGCTTTTGCTCTAGCCTTCCTACTCCCCACTTCAAATACATAATTAAATGATTTCAGTAGTTCTGTGGACTCTTGTTCTCTGACTGAAACCAATGTCTTAAGGCTACTGACCTTGGTTTTAACTGCCTTTAGGGCATCAAGTACTTTCTGCAGTCTTGGGTTGGCCTGATCAATCTGGAGATTAAAAACAATAAAACGTGAGTTAGAAATTGTTATAAAGTCAAACTATGTTTAGCTATTTTTTTTCAATTAAAAACAGTAAACTGAAGGAAGGTAAGGTATTTTCTCTCTGCTTTAGGAGAGGGAATTTTGGTGGGCATATGTCCTGGTGGGCGCTTGTCCTCTATAAATTGTTCCTAATGGGTAACCACTGTCAACCTAAAAACAAGAAACCAGCTCAAGAGGCAAAGCGTTTATTTGAGATCAAAGAATTGCAATTCGGGGTACACAGATTGGGGTAGAAACCCAAACAGCATTCTAATTACAGGACATAGACTCAGGGTTTTTATAGAAGAAAAGGAAGATTACATAAGTGGTTTTTGAGAAGAGTTCATTGGTGCTGACAAGCAGGAAGGGATTCCTACTTTACTGATGGGTCAGGTGAAGTGGTCACTATGCAGAAGTTCACTTTTATCAGATCTCTCAAATATGATACTCTTGTTCTTGCTGACTTCTCGGAATGTTGGTGGTTTGGCCCAGTTCAAAGGTTCCAAAAGCAGGGTGTGCAAGGCAGTTCCCCCAAAATGGCTACTATGGCTCCATTTTAAAATGGTTCTGTGTGTGTCATTTTTCTCAGCACAGAGAAAGTGGCAAACAAAAAGCTCGGCTTTAATTTAATATGGGCAAGGTGCTCAAGGACATACAAGTCAAAATCCAAGAACGTAGCAAACTTGTGACATAAAATACAACCTTTTACTTTTGGCCTGTTTTATTAGTTATAATTGGTACAGTGTATGGTGTGTTGTAAGTGTTCAATAAAGGTTAACTAGAATTACTATAATTCCAAAAGTTAGGGACCTGAGTGTGATATTTATAATAAGAAACATGTTTATGACACAGAGCTCCTGGAACCCTTGGACTTTCCTAAGTGAAGATGACGACAAGGGTGTCTTTTGTTATGTTAATTAGGGGACTTTTGGACTGAATCTAAGAATGAGGGTTGGTTGCCTGGAGAACCAACCATGTGGTTAGAGGGTTGGAACTTTCAGTTCTACCTTCAGACCTCTGGGGACAGGAGAGGAGACAGGGGCTAGAGCTTGAATCAATGGCCAATGGCTGATGATTTAATCAATCATGTGTAAATAATGAAGTCTCCATAAAAACCCAAAAGGACTGGGTATAGAGAGTTTCCAGATTGGTGGATTCAGGGAGATACAGGGAAAACAGTGTGTCTCCACAGGGCAAGGAAGTTCTTTGCCTTTCCCCATACCTTGCCCTATGCATCTTTTCCATCTGTCTAGCCCTGAGTTATATCCTTGGTTAATTAACTGGTAAGTAGAATGTTTCTCTGGGTTCTGTGAGCTGTGCTAGCAAATTAATCAAACCTCTTCAAACCCAAGGAAGAGGTCAGGGGAACCTCTGATTTAGAGTTAGTCAGGCAGAAGCCCAGCTAACAACCTGGGCTTGAGACTGACATCTGAAGTAGGGTGGGGAATTGTAATCTTGCAAGTCTGAACCCTTAGCCTGTGGAACCTGATGCTATCTCTGCATAAACAGTGTCAGAATTGAGGTGAATTCCTGGACACCCTGCTTGTGTTTAAGAGTTGCTTGTTAGAGGTGGGGGGGGCGGGTCACTGCACATTGGAATTTTGTGGGTAGAACCCAAAAGACGCAAGTATACCCAATTTAATAATAACTTCCCTACAGAACTTTTCAGGGACACTCATAGAGGATTTAAGCAACATCTGCCATTATAAACATTAACTGAACTTTTTTCATGGAACAACAATCTTCTTAATATTTTTCCCTGATGATACATTAAATTGATAAATTCCTGAACCTATGAAGTAGGAAGTTTAGAGGAAAAGCAATTTGGAAGATCTGGAAAATAGAAATTCCCTCCCCCTCCAACACCTTCCCATTCTATCCCTACCTGAAACTTAATTCTCTCTTAAAAAGGGAAAAGCCTAGAGAAAACAGCAGCAAAGTACTAGGGAACTGTTTGCTCACCTGTAGCCATTAGTAGAATGGAAAATTTTCAAAAAGAAAGACTCAAATATCTTTTTGCCTTATTTTGTACTATTTTGCTGTTTGATTGGTAAGAAGTAGTGCTAGCCCAGCTCTGTAACTCTCTGTAACCCACCTTCATCAAAACACCGATAATTGCCAAACCATCAGCCTGTGGGACAGCTTCAGCAAAGCTGGAGTACTTCGCAGAATTCCAGTGAACCAGGTGAAGCTGAAAATGATAATGTGGTCAATTAGTTATTTATACCATTGTGAAGACAAAAAGCTATATGTTAACTTGTTAATATTAGAAGATGTATCTTGGCTTAGGTAACATTTATATGAACCTTTATCCAGTGGATAAGAAAGACTATGTTCTCACTCTTAAGAAGGATTATGTACATTGGGTAGAGCAGGCCATTTGCAATTTCCACGGAACCAGTGAGTAAAATTTCTTTTCCCAAAATATCACAACTATTTAATATTACTCCTTTTTAAAAATTGCTTTGGTATGAAAAGATCAGGAATTCCAACTAACTAGTTTTCAACAAAACTGAAATAACTTCTGTCAGGTGAGGTCCTTTTTAGTAACTTTATAGGAAGGGGTTCCTGGACAGTCTAGGAGTCTTGGCCAAGAACACATTTTCTCAAGCACGTCTAGGCATCTGTCAAATCACTATGTCTAGCCTAATCTCCCTATGGAACTCTAGATCTGAATATCCAATATGTATGTAAGTCATCTTGATATCTTCTTGATATCCCCACATGGATGTCTCACAGGTATCTCAAACCTAATATGGCCAAAGTACAACTCTTGATTTCCTCCTTGCCAAACCTGTTTTATTTTCCCATCTTTGGAAAAGGTACCACCATCTACCTAATTGCTCAATCAAAAAGTACAATAGTTATCATTAATTTCTTACTTTCCCCACTTATCAACAGCCATCTCTCAGCATATGTCATAGATTATACCTCCTTACTTGGTTCACAACTTCAAGTCTTTGCATTAGTTGCTGATTTTCTTTGGAATGTCCTTCCCCATAATCTGTCAATGGCAGCCTTTTGTCTTGAATTAGGGCTGAACACAAATGCCACTACAGAAAGAATACTTTTCTGACCTCTAATGTAAAGTGATCATCTGGTCAATCACATCACTTTAAAGTAATTAATTCTCTACATACCACTTACTTAATCTCTTTTGCTTGCTCTCTCTCACTTTTCCTTCTCTCTCTTCCTCCTCCCTTCGCCCCAGCTCCTGCTCTCCCCCCAATCCTCCTCCTGTCCTCAATTGCATGTTGAATTTTGTGGCTAAGTGCCTCTCATCTCTAGCCTGGATTGTATTTATTTTTCTTAAATTAGATGAGGAGATCACTGACTTAGATTTCTTAGATGCAACAAGATCTGCCTCTAAAAAAATAGTATTAATTTAGGCTCCCAGCCCATTTGACTTTAGTCTACTTTCAATTTTTTGAGGGAGAAATGGGAAGAAACATTTAATGGGTTTCTGTAGTATTAAAAGTTATTAGCCAAGCTTTACAATGTAACATAAAGCTGATTATATTTGTGTAAAATTCCTAAATCTTCTATTAAAATAAAAAATGCACATACCCTGTAACCTAGCAGTCCCTCTTATAAAAACATCTGCCCCACTTATGTGCTTTCACTAGTGCATAAGGTGTATGTACAGATGTACTTGTTGAAGAACATTTTGGTAAAAGTAAAAAACCAATGGAACAAAAAGCAAAGGGCATTGTAATTGTCCATCAGTGGGGGCCAGTTAAATAAATTCTGATATATTCATACATTGAAATAAAATTAAAAGAATGAGAATTAAAAGAATGAGGTAGAATTGATGTTAAGGTAACAGTTTTTGAGCCGTTTTGAAGACAAAGATGATTCTTGGGCTCAAGAGCTCAACTCCAAGTTGCCTTTTTCACATGAAAAATTTCCTTCTATTATCCCACTTGGTATGTATGTGTTTGATTTTAATGGGGCCTGGGAGTTCCTTATAGGGATGAGAATGCTCATTCCTTTGGAGCCATTATAAGGGTGACTTATGTAATAAAGCAGCTGCTTCTGAAAATAATTCTCAGTGTAATTATCTCTCGCTTACTGAGTTACATTACCTCTGCAGAATATTTGACTCCATCCACTGTGTGTTCAGAACCATAGTCATTTGTGCTGCCCCAGTGAAAATGGAACTGATAGAGCCTATAGCTTTCAGAAAGAGGACCACCTTTCAGCACTAGAAGAAAAAAGGAACTACTATTAGTTTTATGATCGTAAGTTCCTGCTTATCTTTGCATTTAACATAAGTCAACACTAAATTGGATTAAGTAGAACTGAAAACAAACACTAGTGCCAAAGTTTTTTTCTTGTTGGATTTCCGCCCCCACATCCATGATGATGGTATTCATTGTATGGTGTGTCTCTGACCACTGCACTGAGTTATATACAGTTCTTAGCACATGACCTGTAATTTTATCCTTTTTTTTTTTTTTAAAGATTTTATTTATTTATTTGAGACAGAGAGAATGAGAGAGAGCATGAGAGGGAGGAGGGTCAGAGGGAGAAGCAG